CCTTAGCCTTCCAAGTAGCCGGAATTACAGGCATGCGCTACCACGCCCGGCTAATTTTTTGATTTATTGTAGAGATGAGGTCTTGCCAAGTTGCCCTAACGGGTCACGAACCTGCGGGCTCAGGCAATCCACTCACCTCAGCCTCCCAAAGCGCTGGGATTACAGGCTGAGCCACCAAGCCCGGCTAAAACTGTTTCTTACATGACTAACTTCTTAGGACTTAGTACAGGACTTAGCACAGAACTTCATATTAAACATTTTCTATAAATTTCTACATATCGCAAGGCAAAGTCAGACAGTTCATGTTTGGTGAAATGTTTAGTATATGGAAACAATGTGAATATGTGAACTGCTCCCCTACCCATCAATAACTCATCTCAAACACCATCCTTATCAAGAGAAAACAATAAAAGTCCATTTTTCTGCTGAAAAATGGGTGGGTTTAATTCTTCCCAGGTATCCTAGAAAAACACAGAGATGACTGTATGCTAGACATACACAGTTTAGTTCTTGCCATATACATAGCCTCAGTTCCTAACCTGAGGTAATGTCCCTTTGACAATGTCTGAAGATATTTTTAGCTGTCAGAACTAGGGGAGAGGGTGCTACTGATGTCTCGTGGGTAGAAACCAAGGATGCTGCTAAAGATCCTATGGTGCACGGGACAGCCCCACAACAAAGAATGATTGGGTCTAATACGTCAGATTGTCAGCAGTGCTGACATGACAGTAGTGCTGTAAGGGAAGAAGGGCGGTGCACTTTGCCTTTTCTTGGCTATGTGGGCATTTTCTTTGGAGAACCTAACCAAGTCTCTGCTCTTCTCTCTCACAGCTGCTCATGGTACAAGTTCCTAAGATGCATGTTTACAATCTTTCCCTTCCTAGAATGGATGTGTATGTATCGATTCAGGGATTGGCTTCTAGGAGACTTACTTGCTGGTATAAATGTTGGCCTTGTGCAACTTTCCCAAGGTAAGTAAGATATGAAGCCATTCCATCCAAAGGTAATATATAAGATCTTGTTCATTTGCTCAGAGTATTACTTGTGCTAGATGAACAGGGAAAAAATGTGAATTACATTCACACCGTTACCATTTGTTCCCTTACCTGCCAGATTTCTAACCCATCCAAGATGCTTCTGCCAGATTTCTAACCCATCCAAGAAGACTTAGTTTAGTTTAGATCCCTGTATGTGTTCCAGAGTATTTGTAACACCCATTCTTGGTCATTGTTTCCCTTAACTAGTAATTTCATACTCTTGACTGCAACACATCTCACTTGGCATTGATTTTACTTAGAATGGTGAAGGATAGAAAACATAGCTTGCCAGCATCCTCCAGCAGGTGACAAGCAGTGACTTTGGCAAAGTCACATTTATGTGGCCTTAATTACCTTTGGGATAATAATGCTCATAGTTGTGAGAGTCAAACATAAATATCTTGCTCAAGATATTGAATAACAACTTCACTACTTTACAATAGAGTACCTGACAGCCAGGCACAGTGGTTCATACCTATAATTCCAGCACTTTGAGAGACCAAGACAGGAAGATTGAATTGCTTAAGCCCAGGAAATTGAGACCAGTCTGGGCAACCTAGAGAGAACTTATCGCTACAAAAAAATGAAAATATTAATTGGGCATGGTGGCGTGCGCCTGTAGTCCCAACTACTCAGGAGACTGAAGTGGAAGGATCACCTGAGCCCAAGAGATTGAGGCTGCAGTGGGCCATGATCGTGCCAATGTATTCCAGCCTGAGTGACAGAGTGAGACCCTGACTTAAAGATAAATAAACACAGGAGTAGAATTGCTTAAGAATTGTATACCCTAGTAGTTGAAACTATAAAGAGAAACAAATTATCACAAAAGTAAAAATAGTGAGTACCTCTGTGAGGAGAGATGGAGTTGTGATCAAAGACTTGGGTGGTGATTACATGGGTGTTTGTTTCATAAATCTTTATTAAACTCAACACCTATTTCTATGTGTATGTTACACTTCACAATAAAAATGGAGATTGCTAAATTAATTCCCCTATTACTAAACTAATTACTAAGAAAAGTAATTAAGACAGTGCAATATTGCAGAGATTGACAATTAGGTCAACAGAACTGAAAAAAAGTCGCACATGTGAATCACATGATTTCTATCAGCTATGTCAGTAGAGACAAACTTTTTAATGATAGATGATGTGAAATTATTGGGTCTTTATATAGAAAAAACATTTTAGACCCTTGCCTCACACCATACACAAAATCTATTTCTAGTGGATTAAAGACCTAAACGTAAAAGGTAAAACAATAAAGCTTTGTTGGACTAATATAGGAGAATATCTGCATGATCTTGAGGTTGGAAAAAAATTTTTTCTTTTTCTTTTTCTTTTTTTTTTTTGAGTCAGTGTCTCTGTTGCCCAGGCTGGAGTGGCATGGTCATGGTTCACCACAGCCTCAACGTCCTGGGCTCAGACCATCCTTCCACCTCAGCCTCCTAAGTAGCTGGGACTACAGATATGTGCCACCACTCCTGGCTAATTTTTTTTACTTTTGTTTTTTTGTAGAGATGAGGTCTTGTTATATTGCTTAGACTGGTCTCACAAAAATTTATCTTAAATAAGACACAAAAATCAAAAGGAAAATCCCAAGGAGAAAGATTGCTATATTTGAATTAAGTAAAATTTAAGAACTTTTGTCCATTTAAAGCCACTACAAAAATTAAAAAGCAAATCACAGAATGGGAGAAGATATTTGTAACACATATACATAACAAAGGACTTATTTATTATATATACTCCTACAGATCCATTAAAAACTAGATAAGGGTGCTCTACATAATTAGTAACTAATGAAGTGAAAAATTAAATTGCAATGAATAAATCTGGTAGTATCATATACTAGCATAGATGTGGACGCTGGAAATTGTAATACATTGCTGGTGGGAATATAAATTGTACAACCATTTGGAAAACAGTTTGGCATTATTTTGTAACTCCCCCAGAAGTCGTGAATCAGAGTTTATAATCTTGAAGAACATGTAAATCTGTGTACCAGGAGGCATGCGCAAGGAGATTCATAGCAATATTGTTCATTATAGCCCCAAACTGGAAACAAAGACAGAACACCATGCAACCCTAGAGACAAAAAGCATGGGGAAATAGCCACTTTGGATCCTGATGGCTTTTAGTTCTAGTTTCAGTTTCTTTTTTTGTTTGTTTGTTTTTGAGTTGGAGTCTCACTCTGTCTCCCAGGCTAGAGTGCAGTGGCACACTCATGGCCACCACAGCCTTGATTTGCTGGGCTCAGGCCATTCTTCCAGCTCAGTCTTCTAAGTAGCTGGAACTACAGATACATGCTACCACGTCTGGCTAATTTTTTTGATTTATTGTAGAGACAAGGTCTCGCCAAGTTGCCCAGGCTGGTCTTGACCCCCTGGACTCAGGCAAACCTCTTGCCTTGGCCTCCCAAAGTGCTGGGATTACAGGCTTGAGTCACCATGCCCAGCCTTAATTCCGTCTCTAATGAGGTCCTTTGTACCCTTTGAATAAATTTCCTATTTTGCTTCAGCTAACTTATACGGGTTCTCTTGCTTAGGGAAATAAAATGCAGTGGAGGAACCTATAGATTACAAGAGACTTAACATACATATCAACCATACTTGGGTCCTGATTTAAATACAAAGATTGTAAAACAAAGCATACCATGCAATAGTAAATAATAACTTTTAAAAGATCACCCCAAAATTTACCATACCTCTGACTCAAGGTCTCTCATGAGATTGCAGTCAAACTGTCAGCTATCTCAAGGTTCTACTGAGGCTGGGAGATCTGCTTCCAAGCTCACTCATGCAGCTGTTGATAGACCTGGATTCCTCCCCATGTTGGCCTCTGGATAAGCTACTTGAGCATCTTCATAACACGGCAGCTCACAGGACCAACTACATGTGCAGGGTTCAGTACAAAATGAAAATGCAGGGACACCTTGTTAAAAAATTATTCAGTACTTCAAAACAACAAAGCATTAAACTAAGTGTGGAGCCCTTCTAAGCCCAGGACTCTGTCTTGACTTCATAGGTCACACACCACTGAAGCCAACTCTAGCAGGTGGTGAACTGAATGAGATAGCCAGAAGGCAGCCAAGATGGAAGCCAATCTTTTTGCAACCTCATCTCAGAAGTGACATCCTATTATATTTGTTATAGTCTGTCCCTTAGATGTGAGTTTGCATTTATTGAATTACAGAGAAAAAATACAAAAAAAGAAAAGAAAAGAAGCAAATTGGTAGATCCATTTTACACTGGGGTGGGCGGGAGTTATACAAGGGCAAGAATAGTGATTGGCCATTATGGATTATCTTAGAGACCCTCTATCACAATAATCAATTGTGAATAATGATGGTATTGTAGTTCAATTAAAAGAGCATCATCTTCTAGAAACATATACTGAAATATCTACAGATGAAATGATTTAATGTCTTGGATTTGCTTAAAAAAAATACAGGGTGAGGAAGGAACGGGGGCATAGATTGTCCACAAGTTGACCATTGTTGAAGTGGAAGATGGGTAAATAGTACATAGGAATTCATTATACTCCATTTTTGTTTATGTCTGAAATCTACCATTAAAAAGAGAGCCTTGCTTATCTAAGACAATAAGCCAGCTCACTAAACTCATAACTGAATTTGCACGAGTATACTGGTATGATATAAATTGAGGACAGGTCCTCAAGGAAGGAGGTGCGGGCTTGAAACATCAAAAGGATGACATCATGCACATTAATCCATCTTCTTCAAAATTTCCAAATTCTCATAGTGCTCCTTAGGAAAAAAAAGTAAGTATTGAAGAAGGAGCTGAAGAAAGGGATTGGAGTGATTGACACATGAAAGAGAAACACATACCAACTTTGAGTCAAGTCAATCAAGTGTGATTCTTGCCTTGCTCTGCAGTATTGTCTTCAGCCCTGGAAAATTTCCAGGGCCTTCTTGTGCTACATGAGGGATGGGAATGTGGCTGCTTCTGAGCTGATGGACTCAGAGGTCCTATTACCATGGTATTTGTTTTCCATGTTTAGCATTAAGATGATGCAGTGAAAAGTGTTTCAACCTATGGTATTGAATGAGGTTTAAAAGCGTGGGTCAAAATAGGAAGAGAAGCTAGGAATCAAAGGCGGTCATAGGAAGGTTTATATATCAAGGGATACTATTACCACACTCAGCTATACACATAGATCATTTTTATTTTAAGCATTTTTTACAGTTTTTATCTAAAGTGACCTTTAAAAGCCAAGTTACCTTTTTAAAAATTATTTTGTTTTTCAGGCTTGATGCTTAGTTTGCTAGCAAGGCAACTAATTCCTCCTCTCAACATTGCGTATGCAGCTTTCTGTTCTTCAATAATTTATGCAATTTTTGGATCATGTCATCAAATGTCCATTGGTGAGTTCAGCACTGAAATATACAGGAGGTGGATGAAGTTTCCACTTCAGATGTTTGCTTACTGCTAAAGTCCAACATAAAGCTATCTTTAAGATAGAAAGGAAGGAGGCAGAAGGTGGACATTCTGTCCATGCTGTTCGTGTTCAGATTATAAAATAAATACTCCCAGAGTGTCACCACTAATGTCACCACCAGATAAACAGGCCAGAAAGATGATTTGAAAAGGCAGAAGTACTTTCTTTGGTGAAATTGCCACACACTGGAATCCAGCTTCCTTCAACCCAGAAGATCCCAAAATGATTGTGCCAATACTCCTAGAATATATCCTTCTTTCAACTGGACCCATAATAACCAAACTCCATGGGGCTGACTTATAATACAGCATGCCAGCCAGTCTACAATGAGAAAATGCTATCACAGTAACCAAAACACAGATGTCCACAGGATAAGTATTTTCCTTCCCTGAGCCAAAAGTTCGTCTGATAATTTATCATTAGAAATGACAGTTACAGAGACCAGACTAATTAAAGGTCTTATAATCAGCACATTTACCTCATCTAGGTGAACCTGCATAGAAATCAAATCACAAAATGTCCCAACAAGCTTGGAAGATCATTACCAACATTTACTCAGTGAAGTGACTTTCCTGGGCTCCCCACTGAACAACTGACCAATCGCCCTACATTTATCATTCCGACTGACACACTCTTTCTCCAGATAACATCTATATATTCAAGTTGGTTACCATCCCATCCTTCTAGATGTGAAATGCTATTCTGCTTTTTAAAAGAACAATATCGCATACCTTTACTTTGTGCTGATTTCACATTTGAACACTAAGGAAAGACTTTTACTCTAATATTTCAAGTTCCTTAGGCACCTCACAATTTTTTCCAAATACTGATAATAAGGGCTGTTAGAGCTTTGTTTCTATTATGTAATTTTAAAAGTAAAGATTTACCTCTGCTCCCATATATGTGTATTTCAATATGAGGATTAAATGAAATAATGTTTGAGATAAGTTTAGCTCAGTGCTGTCTTGCACATAGTAATGCCTTCAGAAGTATTGGGTATTATTATTTTTTCCCATTGTTATTGATGAGCTTTTGTTTTCTGATCCTCTCACCACCATCTTATTTTTAACCTTCCCTAAGAGCAGGCACAGCAGCTGAGCTCAAGACCCATGTCCAGCCAATTTCTCTTTGGATCCCACTCAGTACACCCATAATGCAAAGATACTAAATTCCCAGACCACCACCATCAACATTCTGTGAGTTGGTTCTCTCTCCTGTTCTTTCTTGTTTCTCAGTGGTCACTTTCAAATGAGGAAAGTTCTTCAGATGAACAATATGGTATCAGACTATACCTTACTTTTGTCAGTATCTGTCAGTTTCCCTGGACTTGAAACTTTACCTTCTGCCTAACATCTTCTTCCATAGGTCCCTACTTCCTTGTGAGTGCGCTGCTGATCAATGTTCTGCAAGTGAAACCATTCAATGGCGGTCATCTGGTCATGGGAGCATTCGTCAAGTATAACGCTTCTGACCCCTCCTACTATAGTAAATATAGTAACTCCCTGGGCGTAGTGGCAGCCACCACTTTTCTGACTGGGATTATTCAGGTAGGATCTGAGTCCCTGAACCCATGAAAAAGCATTGAATCAAAGATCTATAAATGGACCCTTTCATTAGTTGCTCCTGTGATCTATTGTGATACACCTGGAATGCCAGTGATTTATATTTTGAAAATTTATAGGATGTGTGCATAAGCTGTCTCCTCAGTGAAAAACTTCTCTCTCCTCAGAAATCATCCACCACTGATTTAAGATGAAACACTGAACATTCTCATCAATCCCTCCTCCTCTAAGACAAAGAAAGGTCTAGGGAACTATGGCCCAGAGTTTCACTCCTGATATTGTGCCTTTTTAAAAAGTACTCTTGCTGGGCTCGGTGGCTCAGCCTGTAATCCCGCGCCTTTGGGATGCTAAGGTGAGTGGATTGCCTGAGCCCGCGGGTTCGAGACCCGCAGGGGCAGGCGAGACCTCATCTCTACAATAAATCAAAAAATTAGCCTGGCATGGTAGTGCACGCCTGTAGTTCCAGCTACTTAGAAGGCTGAGGCGGAAGGATTGCTAGAGCCCAGCAGGTCGATGCTGCGGTGGCCAGGAGCGGCCACTGCACTCTAGTCTGGGCAACAGAGTGAGACTCCAACTCAAAAAAATTTTAAAAATTAAAAAAATTAAAAAGTACCCTGTATTCTTTCAATAAAAATAGCCTTGACTGTAGTTCCAGCTACTTGGAAGGTTGAGGCAGAAGAATCACTGGAGCCCAGCAGGTCGAGGCTGTGGTGGCCAGGAGCATGCCACTGCACTCCAGTCTGGGCGACAGAGTGAGACTCCAACTCAAAAAAAAAAAAAAAAAGGAATAGCCTCATAGGCCCACATACAGCACTTTTGGTTAGTAAACTTTATAGTAAGACCTGGAATCCTTTTTCTGCAATGACAAGGACCACAGCTAAAGAACAATAATACAAGTGACTTAGTAAAATCTCAAAACTTATTTTCGCAGTGTCTTTAATTTCCTCTGAGAATCTGCACCTAAAGCTTCACCTACCGAACTAAAATCTCATCTTCCAGCATTATTTATCTTTTTTCTCAACTAACCCACTCTTTAGTTGATGTTCATTAACCTTCCCTAAGTCTGTCTTTCAGCCAGGCGCGGTGGCTCAGCCTATAATCCTAGCACTTTGGGAGGCCAAGGGGAGAGGATTGCCTGAGTCTGGGAATTCAAGACCAGCCCGGGCAACTTGGTGAGACCTCGTCTCTACAATAAATCACAAAACTAGCTGGGCGTGGTGGCATACATCTGTAGTTCCAGTTACTTGGAAGGGTGAGGTGGAAGGATCACCTAAGTCCAGCCAGTCAAGCTGCGGTAGCCGTGAACGTGCCACTGCACTCCAGCTTGGGTGACAAGAATGAGATGCCAACTCAAAAAAAAAATTTAAAAAGACTTTCCTTAGGTAAGGATTTATTGGGGACCTTCAAAGGCAGGATATCATCATGGGAGACTACAGCCCTGATACTCATGAGCTGTACAAATTTCAGTTAAGTATTTTACTTTTGTGGGCCTCAGTTTCCCCACATGTAAAGTGGAATAATATTTAATTTGCAGGGTTCTTATGAGGATTAAGTGAGTAAATGCATGCAAAAGCCCAGAACCTGTCACATAATAAGCATCAATAAGTTATAATTACTGGGCACAGGGAAATGTGCCCAGGTACTTTAACAGAGACGAAAATTTTAAAAATGTGTAGTTCCTATGGTTAAAAAGCTCACTCTTGTGGAATAAGATAAAATACAAGCAATATGTCAGCAACCTATTAATTCTCTAAGTGGTCTTAGACATGCTCTTTCCCTTCCTTCAAGCCTAGGTTTTTTGTATCTGAAAAGGGAGGAGACATTTCATTTCCAGGAAGATGGAATAGATGTACTTTTCCCTATTCCTCCTGTTTAGCACCACTAAAGACCTTGGGCATTATATATAAAAACAAATACAAAAAGACTCTGAAAAATGAAGCAAAGAGGGCAGACTGACTTGGAACTTCAGGACCCGAGGAACAACTTGGTGATGACTTACCTGGACTTTCTTTTTGCCGCCTATACTTCAAACTTACAGTAGAAGAAGCCAGAAACCCAAAATTTCAACAGGCACAGATTTTTAAAATTCCCAACAGAATCCTGCTTTTTACAACCATAGGACCAAGAAAGGTTAGCAAGACTAAAACCTGTTAGACAATAATCACTCTACTCCAATCAAACACTAAGGAAAAGAAAAAGAAAAAAAAAGACCTGATGTCAGCCCCACCCAGGCCAGAAAAGGCCAAGGAACGCAGATTTCCACCTTTGCCCAGCTATAATAAGGTACCTGCCATCACCACCACCCCAGCTAGTGTAGTGTCCAAGAAACCCAAGTAAGCAGTCAAGACTTTCATCCCTGCTGGACATTAATGAGACATTCTTCCTACTCTTTACCCAGGTGATATCAGAGGAGGCCTCGTGAACAGTCAGGTCCATCACCACCACACAGCGGTAATGTGGCTAAGCCCCCCTCTGCCATGATGTCAATGGAGGCTATGTGGAAGGAAATAAAGGCACTCCTGCTTTTCTAGCCAAGGTAGCATCAATGGAGGTCTAGTGGGGAATTAGAATTCTCACTATTGCCCAGCAATAATGAAAATTATCTACTGTTTCTGGTGTCAATGGAGTGGAGACCAAATGGGGAATCTGGACTTCTACCTTTACTCATCAGTGACAAAGTGGCACCATCTCCTTTCCCTGCCACAGCTTTATCAAAAGTAAACTAGCGAAAACAGAAGGTTCAGATAAGGTCCACAGTCTCACAGCAGTACTCAAAATGTCTGGGATTCAATCAGAAGTCACTTGCCATACCAAAATCCAGGAAAATCTCAACTTGAGTGAAAAAAGACAATAAGAAGATAGCAACACTGAGATGACAGAAATATTACAATTATCTGGAAAAAAAACTTTTTTTTGAGTCACAGTCTCACTGTCACCCAGGCTAGGGTTCAGTGGCACCATCACAGCTCACCGCAGCCTCAACCTCCTGGGCTCAGGCAATCCTTCTGCCTCAGCATCCTTAGTAGCTGGGACTACAGGTGCTTGCCACCATACCTGGCTAATTTTTTGACATCTTTATTTTTGTAAAGATGAGGTCTCACTATGTTGCCTAGGCTAGTCTTGAACTCCTGGGCTCAAGCAATCCTTCTGCCTCAGCCTCCCAAAGTTCTGGGATTACAGCTGTGAGACTTGCACTTGGCCTGGAAAAGATTTTAAAGCAGCCATCCTTAAAATTCTTTGGCAAGCAATTATAAACTATGTTTGAAACAAATAAAAAAAATAGAAAGCCTCAGCAAATGAATAGAAGATATAAAGAATTGAATGAAAATTTTAGATCTGAAAAATATATCACCCAAAATTTAAAAATTAAAATGATGGGCTTATTGCTAGAAAGAAAGGGAGAGAGGAAAGAAACAATAAACTGAAAGAAAGAACAATAGAAACTACCCAATCTTAATAGCAAAGAGAAAACAAACTGAAAACAACAACAAACAAACAGAGTCTCAGGGACAAGTGAGACTATAACAAAACAGTTAACATTTGTGTTATAGGCATCTCAGAAAGAGAGGAGAAAGAAGGTGGAGTTGAAGTGCTTACAGAAATAATAACTGAAAACACCACCAATTTGCTAAAATAAATAAACCTATAGATTTAAGAGACTGAGAAAACCCAAATAAGAAAACCCAGAAAAACCCACATTGAGACAAATCATAGCCAAATTTCTGAAAACTAAAGACAAAAGGAAAAATATTCTGAAAGCAGCTAGAGAAACAACATTTTACCTACAGGGGGAAAACAAATCGAAAGACAGCAGATTTCTTATCAGAAAACATGGAGGCCAGAAAAAAAGTGGCACAAAATTTTTCACGTGCTGAAAGAAAAGAACTGTAAATCCAAAATTCTATACCCAGTGAAAATATCCTTCAGGAATGAGGGGAAATTAGGATACTCTCAACTGAAGAAAAACTAAGAGACCTTTTCACCAGTAGACCTACACTGAAAGAATGGCTAAAGCTTCTTTAAACAAAAAGGAAATGATAAAAGAGAAAACCTTGGAATATCAAGAAGGAAGAAAAAAATGGGAAGAGTAAAAACATGGATAAATATGATAGACTTTTCCTGTCATCTCAAGTTTTGAAATTATGTTTGATAGTTGAAGCAAAATTATTACACTGTTTGACGTGGTTCAAAATGTGTTGGGCAGCAGAGCAAGAACTCATCTCTACACAAAAAGTTAATTCAGGACTGAAATAAACAAACAATTCTTTCTGAAAGGCATCAACCCAGCTGGGCCCACCCAGTTCTGTGCCAACAGGCTGCTCCCACCCCAGCTGCAGCCACCTCACTGGACCCAGTGCTACCATGTCCAAGTGATCCAAGTGTAACAAGGAGGTGAACTTCACTGAGTAAGTGACTTCCCTGGGCAAGGACTGGCATTGGCCTTGCCTGAAGTATGAGAAATAAGGGAAGATGCTGGCCTCCAGGAGCCATGCCAAGCATGAAGGCAAGCCCTATTGCAACTATTCCTGCTACTTGCCCATGTTCAGGTCCAAAGGCTTTGGGTGGGGTGGAGCCAAGAGTCACATTTTCAAGTAAAACCAGGTGCTAGAGACGCCATTCCCAGTTGACTGTGGGGGGTCACTGTCCAGGCAGATGCCAGGCCAAAGTCCCAGATACCAAGGGGTTCCTTGTAGTCCCTCATACTCTCAATGAACAAATGGAAGACCAAAAAAAATCCAATAACAACAACAACAACAAAACCAAACAAAATTTCTATTATAAACAGACACAGGAGAGGTAAGGTTTATACACTTTGCTCAAGCTGTAAAAAGTCAACCCCTACACTGTTATAAGTTTTGTATATAATGTAATATCTACGGCAACCACTAAAATATTCTTCAAAGATTTTTCAAGAACATGATAGATAAATCAAAATGGAATTCTAAAAAATATTCAGTAACTCACAAGAAGGAAAAAGAAAAAGACAAATGAAAAACAGGGAGAACAAAGAGAAAAATGTCAGATTTAAGTCCTAATGTATCAATATTTACATTAAAGATAAATATTGGTATATTAAAAATATGCTGTATATAAGAAATTAGCACTCAATATAGTGATATGGACAAGTTACAAGTAAACAATAGAAAAATATATCATGCAAACCTTAATCAAAGGAAAGCAGGGAATGACTATATTAATAATGGATAAAGTAGACTTCAGAGTCAAGAAAATTGCCAGAGGCAGAGAGGAATGTTATATAATGATACAATGACCAATTTACCTTCTCACCAGAAAAAGAGGGGAAAAAAATGATGTGAGGTAATGGAATGTGTTAATTAACTTGATTGTAGTAATCATTTATATGTATATTTATATCAAGTCATCATGTACACATATACAGTTTTGTCAAGTACACCTCAAAAAAGTTGAAAAAAGGAACCAATCTCCCAAAAAGACATCGCAATCCTAAATACGTATGCATCAAATAACAGAGCTGCAAAATCTGTAAAGCAAAATCTGATAAAATTGAAAGGAAAATAAACAAATCCACAATTTTATTGGAGACGTCAACATTCCTCTCTGAACAGTTGACAGAACAACTAAACAGAAAATCAGGAAGTATATAATAGAACTCAACAATACTGTCAATTAACAAGATTTAAAAGACATTTACAAAACATTTCATCCAGTAACAGCAGAATACACATTCTTTTTAAGGACCCACAGAACATGTACCAAGATAAATCATATTCTAGACCATAAAATAAAACTCAATAAATTTTAAAAAATCCAAATCAAACAGAGAAGGTAAAATCAAACTAGAACTCAATAACAAAAAGTTGGATTGGGTGTGGTGGCTCATGCCTATAATCTCAGCAGTTTGGGAGACTGACAGAGGCAGATTGGTTGAGCCCAGGAGTTCAAGACCAGCCTGGGCAACATAGCGAAGCCTTGTCTCTACAAAAAACCAAAAAATTAGCTGGACATGTTGACACATGTCTGTAGTTCCAGCTACTCAGGATGCTGAGGTGGAAGGTTCACCTGAGCCCAGAAGGTCAAGGCTGCTGTGAGCCGTGATCATTGTGATCATGCCACTGCACTCCAGCCTATGTGACAGAGTGAGACCCTAACTCCAAAAAGAGAAAAAAAGAAAGAAAAATTCCTAAGCACTTAGAAACTAAACAGCATGCTTCTAAATAATCCATGGTGCAAAGAGAAAGGCTCAAGAGAAATTTTTAAAATACAGCAAAGGGATTGAAAATGAAAATAAAACATATCAAAATTTGTGGGACACAGCTAAATCAGTGCTGAGGGGGAAATTTATGCCACTAAAATGCATACAGTAGGAGAAAGGGGGAAAAGAATCTCAAATTAAGAATCCAAGCCCAGCTTCAAGAACCTAGAAAAAGAGGAGCAAATGCAACACAAAACAAATAGAAGGAAATAATAAAGACTAAACGTTAATGAAATTGGAAATAGAAAAGTTTATATAACAGATGATTCGTGTATGTAGCATTTTGAAGTGACAATATTATAGGAATGGAGAAAGGGAAATAGGAGTAATAGGAGGGATGTTCCATCACCATAACCTTATGGTGTTGGAGCCATTTTGACTGTATCAATATTAATATCTTGGTTGAGATTATTACACTAAGATGCTGCAAGATTGGGAGAGCTGGGTAAAGGGCTATAGGATCTCTCTGTATTGTTTCTTACAGCTACATGTCAATCTATAATGATCTAAAATAAAAAGTTTAACTTAAAAAGACAAGTAGGAAACTAGATCATAACAATAGCTAATATCTACTGCTATGTGTTATCACTGTTCTAAATAATACTTTACATGTATTACCTCATTTGATCCTCACAACAACCCTTGTTATGAGGGTAAGGATTACTACAGTTCTTATTCTAATGAAATCAGGCTATGCCAGTTTTCTTAACCTACCCTCTTAAGGGGATTGGAACTCACCCTCTAATTATCAGCTTTCTTGTTTTGTTTTATTTATAAAAGATGAACATCTCGACAGTAAAGAGATGCATAAATTATAAAATGTCCCCAACCTCTAGTTGATACCAGCAGGTTACCAAACTGGGATTCAGTTTCAAGGTTGACTGCCTGTAGAATCTGTGCTCTAGATAATCTTAAAGTACAAAATAATATTCATAAAAGCAAAGAGTTTAATGACAAAAGAACATGCATGAAGTAAGAGAATAACTTTTAATTGCATTGGGGTTGTCTGGGCAGGAAACAACTTATTGAGCCCTTTATTTAATTCATTCAATAGTTAGTACTGGCTTTCTGTAAGAATGACAGGTTTGATCTCACAGGCCATCTCTGACTGATTAACAATGGCTGCCTCGAATATTATGTTAACACTGAATCTGATGCCACATCACAGTGGGCAACAAAGAGTTCTATGGGAATTGTTGATATTTGCCATTTACAAAGTGAAAAGAAAGGATGGAGTAAAGAATGAATAATATATTTGCATCTTTCACTATTTTCTGATTGGTACTTGGTGTCTTAAGTGTGTTATGAAATTTAATCCATATAAAACACTGTGTATTGAGTATTATTCACATTTTACAGAGGAGGAAACTGAGGCTCAGAGAGTTAGTTAACTTGTCCACACTTACCATTAAATAGCAGAGCTGGGACAGAAACCAGATTCTGTAGCCTCAGGAACCACACTCTTTTCACTATATCTTTTTTTTTTTTTTTTTTGAGTTAGCGTCTCACTCTGTCGCCCAGGCTGGAGTGCAGTGGCACACTCACTCAACCTGCTGGGCTCTGGCAATCCTTCTGCTTCAGCCTTCCAAGTAGCCAGAACTACAGGCAAGTGCTACCACACCTAGATAATTTTTTATTTATTGTAGAGACAAGGTCTTGACCAAAAAAAAGTTGTCTGGGCTGGTCTTGAAACCACGGGCTCAGGCAATTCACTTGCCTCATTTTTGTCTTCAGGACATACATAATCCCGAAGACACAAATAAATTCAGTTTAATCATTCTTAGTAAAGATAAGAGTCAATGGCAATGAAATTCGAGATGGGTTCTAGTTTTCTGAAATTCTCTTTTCTTCTGAGAAAACCCGCATTCCTCATGGGAATGTCAACATCTCTTGGAATGGGCTACCAAAGCTTCCAATGAGAGAGCCTTTAAAAAGGCAAAGGCTTGCTCTGATCACCTTGTCACTGTTCTCCCCATGTCAGTCTAGATGGCAGTAGATTCTGGGGCCAGAACCTAAGCAGGTGACAGTGCTCACAAAGGAAGGAGGCAAAGGTGTGGGCTAGTGCTTGATGGGAGCCTCTGGTCAACACACAAGGACCCACCTTATCTCACCAACTAATGTTCACTGGGGAAAGAGAGACACAAGAGTTATCAAAGGACCCTACCTGAATTTTTTTGTGGGAAACGCTTCTTGCTGAGGAGGGGCTGTGGGACCCCTGGAGAGCACCCTTGGTGCCATTGCTGGTTTGAAGACACTCTGCCCCACTCTGGATTCCTTTTCTATCTGAACCCCCCTGCAGCTATCAATGAGTATATTGGGTTTTGGCTTCTTTGCCACTTACCTTACGGATGCTACGGTCAGTGCGTACCTGGCTGCTGTGGCACTGCACATCATGCTGTCCCAGGTGACCTGCATCTTCGGGATTATGATCAGTTTCCACGCTGGTCCCATCGCCTTCTTCTTTGTGAGTAATTTCAGCCCTCATTCAGAGTTACAAATGGCCCTTCCCTTGCCTCCAAATGGAAGTGGAGCCCTGTAGAGAGACTCCTGCCCATTCTGAAAGGAGCAGCTAAGTCGAGAGGGTCCCAGAAGTAATTTCACTTCTAGTAGATTTAAGGTCTTGGTGAATTGCAGATGCTGGTTAGATCATGTTCTCAGTTGCATTAACCATTTCAGCCCAGCCTTGTAAATTATGTTTTACAGTAAAATTTGGCCTTTAAGATACTGTATTTATCATAATTCTTCCTGTTACATACCTCGTTACAGACATATATCGTAAAACAAATAAAGGATCTAAAATACTAAGTAGTCCCTGAATACAAGAATAGGGTAAGAGCTAAGCTAAAGAACATGTATGATCTGGGAAAATTAATAATGATAAGCTAATAAACAGAACCCCATTATGCTGAACCATGTAAAGTATATTGTCTCTTTATTGAACTTTTAAAAAAATATCTCTTTTTCAACTTAAAAATAACCCCCAATGTCCCCCCACCCCATGGCTTGCCCTCACTGTTCTAGTAATATGCATAAAGACCCTTGTGCCCAGCAACTCTATCCAGGGACTTCTTTTTTTAACTAATCTACCAATCTAGAAAGAGTGCCATTGTCTAGATTTAGGCAATTATGATATCCCTTGCTAAGCCTCTTTAATTTTGTTTGCTTTCAGGACATAATTAATTACTGCATAGCTCTTCCAAAAGCTAATTCCACCAGCATTCTACTATTTCTAACCACTGCTGTTGCTATGAGAACCAACAAATGTGTCCGAATTTTCTTCAGACAGTATCCCATCGAGTTTCCCATAGAATTATTTCTGGTAGGTGCTTTTGATGCCCCAAATTCATGGTTTAGACAATTTTAGAATTCTAAAAAATGTATTTTGATATGTGTCAAAGTTGAATACATTAAGTTTTAAATATATGCTTATATTTGTAAAACATGCTTATTCTCTTTTTTTTTTTTTGAGTTGGAGTCTCATTCTGTCGCCCAGACTGGAGTGCAGTGGCCACTCCCAGCCACCGCAGCCTCGACATGCTGGGCTCCGGTGATCCTTCCGCCTCAGCCTTCCGAGTAGCCGGAATTACAGGCATGTGTTATCACGCCCGGCTGATTTTTTGATTTATTGTAGAGATGAGGTCTCGCTGCCCAGGCGGGTCTCGAACCCGCGGGCTCAGGCAATCCACTCACCTCAGCCTCCCAAAGGCGCGGGATTACAGGCTGAGCCACCAAGCCCGGCTTATTCTCTTTTTAAAATATTTTTAAAGTAAGGTATAGTTGACAAAAACTATATAGTTACAGTGTACAATGTGATGTTTGGCATGTGTTATATATTTTGAAATGGTTAAATCAAGCTAATTAACAGTCATCATTTCACATACTTACATTTTTAAACTATTTTATTTATTTGTTTGTTTTTTAGAGACAGGGTCTTGCTCTATTGCCCAGGTTGGAATGCAGTGATATAATCATAGCTCACCACAGCCTCAAATTCCTGGGCTCAAGTGATCCTCGCACCTCAGCCTCCTGAGTAGCTGAGACTACAGGCACATGTCATCACGCCCAGCTAATTTTTTTTTCATAAACAACATAAATTTATTTCTTACAGTGTAGAAGTTGTGAAGTCCAAGATTAAGGAGTGGGTAGATTCAGTATCTAGTGAGGGGTGCTCTCTTGTAGCTGGTGCCCTCTCAGTGTGTCTTCATATAGTGGAAGGGGTTAGCTGGCTCCTTCTTCAACAAAGGCACTAACCCCATCCATAAAGGCTTTACTGTCAAGACCTAATAATCTCCTAAAGGTTCCATCTCTTAATACCATCACATTAATGATCAGGCCTCAACAAACGAGTTTCAGGGGGACACAAACATTCAGACCATAGCAGGTACTTATTTTATAAGTAATTATACTTTGTCCCAGTTATTTACAAAAAAAATTTGTTGTAGAGACAGGTTCTCCCTATGCTGCCTAGGTTGGTCTCTAACTCCTGGCCTCAAGTAATTCTCCGGCCGCAGCCTCCCAGAATGCCCACACTCAACCTACATTTTTCATTGTGAGAATATTTAAGGTCTACTCCTCGCAATTTTCAAGTATATAATATATTATCAACTACAGTCACCATGTTGTATAAGAGATCTCCCTCCCCCAAATTCTTATTTTCTAAGTAATTTTACCTATTGCCTCTTTCTTGTAATATTTTTAAAATAGGGTTATGAAAGTAACACAGTCTCATTCTAAATTTTTTGAAAAACACAAAGAAGTTTAAAATGGGGGTAGGGAGAGGAAAATAAATTTCCTATGGTTGCACCATCCAAAGTAAACTGTTGATACTTGAATGTCTTCAGTTATTCACTCCTTTCTTCTTTCAGACAAACATATGACAGGCCTATGCTTGATATTAGTGAATTTCCATCTTTATCTATGTAGAAGTTTTGCTTCTATTTTAATATAGTTGCAATCATATTGTTGTTCCTTTCATTCTCACTATGCTACAATAAAGAAATTGAGGCAGCTCGTTCCTGGACCTAAACATAGGAACACATCTAAATTAGATGTCAGACTCAGAGGACCTTCCTAAAGAAAATAGAATTCAAGAGTTGAGGCATTAGGGATCCCATATTTAAATGATTGCAGACAAAGGGCCAAAGAACCAAGGGGGAAATAAACAGCCCTTTCCTTTGACAAGCATCAGATGCATTCACAAGGAAACAAACTGTGTTCACGGAGAAACAACGGGAAGATTTGAACATCTCGTTCAATAAGAACCCACACCCAAACCCCAGCCTTTGGAAAGAGATAGCCTCAAAAATTGACATATATCCAACAGCAGGTTTGGTTCAAGAACCACAGAGCAAAACTCAAGAAAGCAAAATTCAAGCATATTCAGCAAAAACAAGCTCAACAACAGTACCTGAGGGTGAAGTCAAGAAGGCCGGTCCCTCCCAGAGAAATTCGAACACACCACGCAGGTCCTCTAAGGTTGCCTATCCTGTAGCCCTAGTTTATGCAGATCATTGGGAACCTTCATTCCAATTCACCTTATGCCCCAGTGTTAAGGCAGGCAACTTAATTGGCTACAAAGTAGTTCATTTTGGCTACTGCCAAGATCCTAACATATACTGTTTCTGCTTCTATCCCATTTTAAAATCCCAAGTTTGTTCTCTAACCTTCAATTCTAATCCTTTTGGATGTACAAATCTACAAAGCAGAGAGAGACACTAGCCACAAAAAGTCACATATCACAATGTGTGTAATGATTCACATACAAGAGAATACTTTTCAGTAATAAGGAACAAACTAGAGATATATACAATGTGAATTTCAAAAACATGATGTGGCATGAAAGAAAAAAAGACACAAATGGCTATATACTATATAATTCCATTTATATGAATTCTTTTTTTTTTATGTTTTTAGTTTATTAAGCCGGTCATGAAAAATCCAAACAATGGCCACAGATATTGTCACTGCATCATCTTTAGTCCTTTGCCTTCTTGCCAGCACCAACATTGACCTTTGCAGTCCCTCTGATTTTCTTCATTCTGTTCTTACATTCCTTTCGCTGCTTCCTTGAGATCTTTTTCTTCTCATACGGGACATATCTTGCAAGTCTATGTTTGGGTTCATTTTTCTTTGCATATTCCAAGGAATCATAAATCATGCCAAAGCCAGTTGTCTTGCCACCAGCAAAATGAGTTCTGAATCCAAATACAAAGATGACATCTGGTGTTGTCTTGTACATTATGGCTAGTTTTTCTTGAATTTCTGTCTTAGATACTGTTGCCTTCCTGAGGTGAAGGATATTGATGACCATTTGTTTCCGCTGAAGCAGATGGTTGGACATGAATTTCCTGGTCCAAATAGTTACTGCGTCGTTCATGATGGCTGCTGATCCTCAGGCAATCAGGGAAGAAGAAAAAACTATATGAATTCTTAGAGGAGGAAAAACTAATCTTAATCTACAGTGGCAAAACATAGATGCTACGTGGCTGCCCATGTGGAAAGAATTAAAGAGGCAGGCCAGGCACGGTGGCTCACATCTGTAATCCCAACACTTTGGGAGGTCAAGGCAGGAGGATTTCTTGAACCCAGGAGTTGGAGACCAGAACAGATGGCAACACAGTGAGACCCCATCTCTAAAAAAAAAAAATCAAAAAAATTAGCTGGGCATGGTGTCACATGCCTGAATTCCCAGCTACTCTGGAGCCTGAACTCAGGCTGTCAAGGCTATGGTGAGCTGTGATCATGCCACTACATTCCACTGAGACAGAGTGAGACCACGACTCAAGAATGAATGAATGAATGAATAAATAAATAGATAAATAAAGGCACAAAACACACTTATTGAGGTGATGGAAATGTTTCATGTCTTAATTAGGGTAGCAGTTGCCTGGATGTATAAATTCATCAAAATACATAGAACTGCACATCTAAAATCTGTGCATTGTATTTTACATTAATGATACCTCAATAAAAAATAGAGATATATCAAGGAAACTGAGGCAGTTGAGATGTTAAATGTTTTTTCTAATCCATTTCACTAATAAGTGGTATCTAATCATAGTGTTTCTTGTTTCTTTTTAAAAATATGCTGATAAAATTTATCTTTTGCAGTAATAACATTTTCCCATGATGATCTTTTCATAAATAAAGCTCAGGTTTTTAAAGTCAGCATTTTTCATTTTAGGATTGCTGAATTCTTGGATGCCCATGAGAATCATTTTCTCCTTAAGTGGCGTTCTATGGCAAAGATGTTTAAAACTCACCAAATATCCATGTACCCCTACATCTCCCAGTCTCCACTGTAGTTAGAAGGACCCTATGACTTTTGAGCCAAAGCAAACGAGAATAGGTACAAGCCCTCATATTCTTTCTTCCCCTGCTGTGGTGATGCTAGGGGTAGTATATTAAGGAAATGGAGTCACCAGTTGGAATTAACCCAGATCCTTGATGCACTGTTTGCATAGAAGTTGCCCCACAGAGCCACCATCCCGCAATGAACTTTCTATGGGCAAAAAAAATAACCATATGTGTTAAAATGCTAAGATATCATTTTTATGTTGCCACAGCATAATCTAACCCACACTAACTAATCCAGGTCCATCCTCTTTAAGATTGAAGAATACTGCTTTGGAACTTCAGAGCAAGCTCTCAGAACTGCTGTCTCCTTACAGAGGTGCATATTCTTTCTTCCTTTGAGTAGTTGAAAAGCTATTAATTCATAAAGGCCAGAAGCTGAAAGGCTCTTTTTCAAATCCCTGTACACGGATCCAGCAATCCCACTTTTGGGTATATCCAAAGGAAATGAAATGTTGAATAGATATCTGCATTGCCACGTTTGTTGGAGCACTATTCACAATATCCAAGAAGTAGAATCAACCTGAGTGTTCATCAGTGGATGAATGGATAAAGAAAATGTGCTATATATACACAATGGAATACCATTCAGTCTTAAAAAACTGGAAATCCTATCATTTGTGACAACACAGATGAATCTGGAGGACATTATATTAAGTGAAATAAGTCAGCCACAGAAAGACAACTACCGTATGATCTCACATGTGGAATCTAACAAAATTGAATTCATGGCAGTAGAGAGTAGAACAGCAGCCACCAGGAGCTGGGGTGGTGGCTGGGTAGAGAGTGGGGTAGGCGGATGCTGGTCAGAGGATACAAAATTTCAGTTAAATAGGAGGAACAAGTTCAAGAGGTTTGTTGTACAACAGAGTGACTATTGTTAATAACAATGTATTATATTCTTGAAAACTGCTACAAGAGTCGACTTTAAGTGTTCTCACCACAAAAAAGTTAATTATGAGAATTTGCATAATAATGTTAATTTATGTAAAAATGTTACTACATATGTTCATAGCTTGATTCAGTCATTCCACATGTATATACATATTTCAAAATAACATGTTGTATGTGACATATATATACAATTTTTATTTGTCAATTTTTTTTTTTAATTGGAGTCTCACTCTCTCACCCAGGCTGGAGTGCAGTGGCACACTCGTGGCCACTGCAGCCTCGACCTGCTGGGCTCGGGAGATCCTTCCACCTCAGTCTTCCAAGTAACTGGAACCACAGGCACATGCCACCACACCTGGCTAATTTTTTTATTTATTGTAGAGATGAGGTCTCGACAAGTTGCCCAGAATGGTCTCAAACCCATGAGTTCAGGCAATTCTCTTACCTTGGCCTCCCAAAGTTCTCGGACTATAGGTGTGAGCCACTGCACCTGGCCAATTTGTCAATTTTTGAAAACAAATAAATAAAACGCTGGACACAAAGAGTGGCACCCTAGAGCTCAGGAAACAATGTGTATGTGGAGTTTGGAGAATGGAGTCAGGTAGTTTCTCCTTTTCACGGAAACCGGCCCAGCTTTTACACCTTAGGGAGCCACAGCTTTGGAGTCACCAGCAGACAGCACCTATGACCCAGGGATCAGCCCTCTCTCAAGAGGCATCAATGGCAAGGATGGTCGTGATGTTCTTTTAAGCAGCCTCAAAGGCCATGGACATGAACAGGGTTTATTAGGAAAGCAGAGAGGCGAGGGTCCAAAGGACGCTGTGGGTTGACTATGGCTGACAGATTGGTTTATAAACCACAGTGAAGACATTCCTTTGGGGGAATGCTGTAAATAATTACAATGCATCATGATGTAAGGTGGGGGAGGAAACTGAGGCCCCGCAATAAAATGGGTGGAGGCTTAGAATTGTTACAATTTAGGTATTAAATTTTTTTGTGACCTAATTTGTACTCAAAAGCTATTGCAGCCTGCAATATACCACTTATACATGAGTCAAGTCAAGTGACGGGGAAACACTTTCTGCCACATAGCAGGGATTAGAGATACAGGTTAGAACTGGAAAAAGACCTCTCTGTTTCCATAGGCAGTGAGGAAAATGGGACAGGAGGATGGAAGGGATCATGACCTGGAGTGTAAAAAGCTTCTCACAGCACCTGCCAAGAAACTACTGTTGAGATGTGCTGGAGGAAGTTGCACATACCTGTCAATCTGTTCTTCAAGAAAGCAGTCTCAAATATTTAGGAAAAATTGCAAGAAAACATCTGTGATCCAGGCAGAATATACTGACAATTCAATAGTCCCTTAGCTATAACAAAGTAAGCATACTATAAGCTCATATTTTGTGCGTGTGTATATTTACGCTATATAACAAACACAAGAAAAGTGTTAACAGTAGTTGCCTTTGGGCGATTTATTTTTGCTTCTCAATGTTTCATATTTTCTTCATTTTCTCTTATGAGCAAGTATTACCTTTATACTCAAAATAAAATAATTCCTTAACTAGGCACAGTGGTCGTGCCTGAAATCCCAGCACTTTGGGAGGCCAAGGTGGGAAAACTGTTTGAGCCCACAAGTTTGAGACCCGCCTGGACAACATAGAGAGATCCCATCTTAATTTTAATTTTAATTTTTTTTTTTTTTTTTTAGTTGGAGTCTCACACTTTGTCGCTCCCGGCCACCGCAGCCTCGACCTGCTGGGCTCCGGCGAACCTTCCGCCTCAGCCTTCCAAGCAGCTGGAACTACAGGCACGTGCTACCACACCTGGCTAATTTTTTGATTTATTGTAGAGATGAGGTCTCGCTGCCCAGGCGGGTCTTGAACCCGCGGGCTCAGGCAATCCACTCACCTCAGCTCCCAAAGGCGCAAGATTACAGACTGAGCCACCAAGCCCGGCTCCGTCTTAATTAAAAAAAAAAAAAATTTTAAATGCCATACATCTTGCCCCTTAACCATATAAAACCCAAGGTTCTCTGTCTCTGATCCAAGCTGTGATCCAGATTCTTCCTTCTATTATGATTGGCAGGCTTCCTAGGAGTCTTCATCTGACCACAGTGGCATAGAAAACAACTGCCATCCCACTCAGCGTCTGGTTGAACTCTTGGAGTCGATGCTGGGAAAAGATTGATGTGCTAGAGGGAAAAATGGGGTAAAGCAACTGTATAATTAGTATTTTAAAACCTAGGCAGCTGGGCACAGTGGCTCACACCTGTAAACCCAGCACTTTGGGAGGCCAATGCAGAAGGATCCCTTGAGACCAGGAAATTGAGACCAGCCTGGACAACTTAGTGAGACCCTGAACCTACAAAAAATTTAAAAATTTGCTAGACATGGTGGTACATGCCTGTAGTCCCAGCTACTCAGAAAGCTGAGGCAGGAGAATTGCTTGAGTCCAGGAGTCTGAGGCTGCAGTGAGCCGTGATTGCACCACTGCACTCCATCCTGGGCAACAGAGTAAGACCCTGTCTTTCAAAAAAGAAAAAAATGCTGCTCCACATTATTAAGGGTTAATCAAGTTTCTCATGCAATATAACTCAACAATCCTTAAAAAGGCATATCTATATTGGTAGAGTGTAGCTGGATCTAAAAACTTTGACACTGAGAACTTGATACACCCATTATCTGAAAACATGTTGATATTGGTAGAGACGCTTAAAGTTGGTGAGGACAGAGAAGTTTACGGCATCCATTTGTTCCCATTATTGTGTCAGAGACCAGTTTGCTTTGTGTTCTGGCTACAATGCCAAAGGAGCTTAGCGAATTAGTGAGGACATCTCCATTTCTTTCTCCATTGAACTGCCCATCTCTCCAATGTCATACATAGGAACTGCCCCATGTTTCATTTTCTGTCCTGCCAGAGGCTATGGGCACCTGGAAGCAATACACACTATTTAAATAATCATATACCTTTTTTTTTTTTTAACTCCCTACAGATCCTTGGCTTTTCTGCAGTTGAAAACAAGATGAACATGACCACAGAAAACAGCGAGATGCTTGTTGACATGATTCCTTATAGGTCAGTAATTCTGCTTTTCAAGATTGCTTTTCTTTTTTGACACTCTCTCTTTGCTGCTACCACACACTCTGATTGGTATTTTCTTCCTTCCTTCCTTCCTTCCTTCCTTCCTTCCTTCCTTCCTTCCTTCCTTCCTTCCTTCCTTCCTTCCTTTCAAGTTGAGGTCACTCTGTCACCCAGACTGGAGTGCAGTGGCACCATCATGACTCACCACAACCTTGACCTCCTGGGCTACTGTTTGATATTTTCTATAAGCAGTCTCTGGCCAAAGCCAAATTCATTTTAGAACACAGAGGTTCACGAAACGAGGAGGGCTAGGACAACTATTTTTTTCTTCTGTGGTCAGCCTCTGTCTCTCTTCTCATGGTTGAGCCAATCTGCTTCCCCAAGAAAACTGCTATATGCAATGAATGCCAGAGAAACTAGCGTTTTTGTTTTTTATAGTGTCTTAGAGATCTTCTCAACCTCATACTTGTCTAATTAACTCTCAGAGGTTGAACAAGAGGTGCATCTCTTTTCCTAGGCTCTCTCCTGTGGCTCAGTGTTCAGGAGATGAATGTTTCTCCTGCCTTCATGTGCTTAGACTGAATTGGGACCCTTAAACAACATTATTTTCTTACTCTGGGTAGAAAGTTATCTTCAAATATTCTGGTGTATGGAGTTCTTAAGGACTCACAATTAATTTACATTATTATTTCTATCAGTGGCTATGGGACACTTCTCTTCCTTCTGTTAGGAAGTTATATATATATTTTTAACCTTGATTGGATGAATCAAGTTGGCTAAGAAAGGCAATAGACTGTGGTTTCTTGACTCACAGGCAGACTTTTTAAAAGCATTGCCCATTTCCTCATGTTGTATACTAAGGAATCCTGTAAAGAGTCAGGGATACTGATTAAACTCCAGGATAACAAAAGGTAGGCAGCTGTGATGCAACCAGATTGAACTAGTCTCACGTCCTACCAGTTCTTAATGAAATCTGATGATGGCTAAATCCATGTGAAACTCTAGTCAATTAAAAAAATGGGAGGAGACACCACCTAGGTACCAGGGAACACAAAAATAAGCAAGACGTGGCCTCTGTCCTCAGGGACAAAATAGCAATATGACTGATGCTTTACATACTTATTTCATTTGCTTCTCATAGTCGTACTATGAGGTAAATATTTTCTTTTTTTATGACAGAAAATTATGGCTCACCAAGTTTAAATGACTTATCTGAGATCGCATTGCTATTCAGTGACAGAGTTACCATTTGAACCTGTTTCTCCTTAATTTCAGTCTACAACTCTAGCCACAATATTATACTTGCTCAATCTGCTTCTGTCATTAATGACTTCAAAACCACATAGCCAATCTGTGCTTATCTTTTATTGTAAGATTCAAGCGTATGGATAGACAAGTGAACATTTTAAAAATCTAATTTTAAGCATTGCTTTGAACTTCCTTTTTTATTGTGTACAATTTTTTTTTTTTGGAGCTGGAGTCTCACTCCATCGACCAGGCTGGAGTGCAGTGGCATGCTCACAGCCACCCTAGTGTCGGCCTACTGGGCTCCAGCAATCCTTCCATCTCAGCCTTCAAACTAGCCAGAACTACAGGTGTGCACTACCACGCCCAGCTAATTTTTGATTTATTATAGAGATGAGGTCTCGCCAAGTTGCCCGGGCTGGTCACAAACCCACGGGCTCAGACAATCCACTCACCTAAGCCTCCCAAAGTGCTGGGATTACAGTCTGAGCCACCAAGCCTGACCTATTATGTACAATATTTATCTGGGGTTGCTAGGGACTAGTAAAATTGAATAATTAAAGTTAGCTTCTACTGTGTCTATGTCCCCTTTCAACCTAATTTGTTGCCAAGAATTGAATTTCACAGATAATAGGAAGGAAAACCAGTAGTTTGTGTTTTCATGCTAAATATTCAAACTTTATTCCTAAGATGTGCCTAACAAATTACATTTACTGTGTACTTCTTTGGGTCAATCCCATTCTTACCTAGCTTCTTCTCTTTTTTTTTTTTTTTTTTTCGAGTTGGGGTCTCACTCTGTAGCCTCGGCTGAAGTGCAGTGACATACTCATGGCCACCACAGCCTCCACCTGCTGGGCTCAGGCGATCTTTCTGACTCAGTCTTCCAAGTAGCTGGAACTGCAAGCAAGCGTCACCATGCCCAGCTAATTTTTTAATTTATTGTAGAGATGAAATTTTGCCAAGTTGCCCAAGCTGATCTCAAACCCCTGGAATCAGGCAATCCTCTTGCCTCCACCTCCCAAAGTGCTGGGATTACAGGCATGAGCCACTTCGCCTGGCTTACCTAGCTTCTTAAAAGGACAAAAAGGGGAAATTTGATGAAAAATTAAATATATGCCTCTGAGTATTCAGTTATGTTTCTATTTAGCTCATTACCTGGAAAATACCAAGAAGCCTGTAAGTTATGTTATAAATACAGAATAAAATAGACATAGTTGGATGGTAAAGAAAATGATATTTTAAAATAAGAATTTAGATCCATGCACATAATAATGGCAAAAAATGGGAAGATAGGAGGAGATAGTTCGAGGTGCTAAAAATGATTCCTCCTACTTCAAGGAAAATGAAATTTAAAATACATGAACTAATAAGAAATTTTAATTAGATAAGACATTGTTTGCTTTGTGGAAAACTATATCGCAAACTTTCTTTAAGAACTATTTTCTCTTACTGGGCGAAGTGCTGTAATCCCAGCCCTTTGGGAGGTCAAGGTGGAAGGATAGCTTGAGCCCAGAAGTTCAAGACAAGCCTGGACAACATAGTGAGATCTCGTCTCTACAAAATACTTTTAAAAATTAGCTGAACATGGTGGCCCGCACCTGAACTCTCAGCTACTTGGGAGACTGAGACAGGAGGATCACTTAAGTCCAAGAGGTCACAAGAAAGGCACATAACATTATAAGGTATCTGATCCCAAACCAGAAGGAGTGAGACCAATGGGAGGCCCAAACTTCACCTATACAATGACCACTTATGTACCTAACCCTGAATTGTATCCCACATCTTTAAAAAAAAAAAAGTCTAGCCGGGCTTGGTGGCTCAGCCTGTAATCCCACGCCTTTGGGAGGCTGAGGTGAGTGGATTGCCTGAGCCCGCGGGTTCGAGACCCACCTGGACAGCAAGACCTCATCTCTACAATAAATCAAAAAATCAGCCGGGTGTGGTAGCGCATGCCTGTAATTCCGGCTACTTGGAAGGCTGAGGCGGAAGGATCGCCAGAGCCCAGCAGGTCGAGGCTGCGGTGGCCGGGAGCGGCCACTGCACTCCAGTCTGGGCGACAGAGTGAGACTCCAACTCAAAAAAAATAAAATAAAATAAATTTTTAAAAAAAGTCCAAGAGGTCGAGGCTGCAGCAAGCCAAGGTCATGCCACTTGCACTCTAACCTGGATGACAGAATGAGATCCTGTCTCAAATAATAATACTAGTTATTATTATTATTTCCCAAGTGTATTTTAATACATGATTCATTTTACTACATTTGGATTTTTACATAATTTTTCAAAGGTAAATAAACTATTGAGTCATACATATTTGCATCTTTGACAAAATTATAAAAGATAATCAAAAGAATAAATATTTCAAATAGCAAACCTTACCAAAAATATTTAGAAGATTTTTTATTTAGAAAGTAATTTAGAGAAATGGAAAAGGAAGCATATTTGTTCTTCCAAATTAAGTTTAAAGGACTATGTTAGCATGGATCTATAGAAAAACCACACTCCTTCCAAAATCATAAAGATTTCTTTTCCTTTTTTAGTTTGTAAATATTCTTATTGATTTTTGAATGTTAAGCCAATACTGCATCCTAGTGTAAACCTCACTTGGCCATGGTGTATTATTATTTTGTTTGCTGATTTGCTAAAATGGTAGGAATTTTTGCATTTATGTTCATGAGGGCTATTGGCCTGAGGTTTTCTTGTAATATTTGTGTCTGGTTTTGGTATCAGAATATGCTGACATCACAGAAGGATTTGGGAAGTACTCCCTCATCTTCAACTTCTGGAAGAGTGTCTATAATATTAGCATTATCTCTTCCTCGGAATTCATCAAGGAAGATATTTCTGCCTGAAGTCTTCATTGTGAGAAGGCTCTTAACTACAAATTCAGTTTTTAATTTGCTATCTATTAAATGAGACATCAAATTTGATAACCATTGTCTTTGATTCAGGTTACTTATTTCTTCTTGAGAGGAGGTGTTGGTTTTGGTAATTCAAATCATTTATCCATTTAATCTAAGTTGTCAAATATGTTGACATAGGGTTATCTATACCATTTCCTTATCTCGTTTACATACCATAAAACTCACCCTTTAAAAGTGTACAGTTCAGTAGATTTTAGTATTTCTTTAAGTTGCGCAGCCATTAACACTATCTAATTTTTTAAAATTTTATCACTTCCAAAAGACACTTTGAACCCATTAACAGTCACTTCCAATTGCTCCTCACCACAGCCTTTTGCCATCACTAATCTACTTTTTTTTCTGGACTTTCCTGTTCTGGACATTTCAGATAAATAGAGTCATATAATATGTGGCCTTTTGTATCTGTTTCTTTCACTTAGCATAATGGCTTTAAAATTCATCCACATTGTACCATGCATCAGTATATTTCTATTTATAGCTAAATAACATTTTATTTTACAGATCTACACATTTTGTTTATCCATTCATCAGTTGATGGACATTTCAGCTTTTTCCATCTTTTGGCTATTGTGAATAGTGCTACTAAAAACATTAATGGCTAGGCGCAACAGAGTGAGCCCTTGACCCCCCCCAAAAAAAAGTAAACTAGCGCAACCTCTGTGGAAAACAGTATGGCAATTCCTAAAAGCTCTAAATATTGACCTCCCATATGACCCTGCAATCTCCCTACTGGGAATATACCCTGAAGAACTCAAAGCACTCTATAAAAAAGATACCTGCACACGTATGTTTATTGCAGCATTGTTCACAACAGCAACCATGGAAGCAACTATGCTGCCCATCAAAAGAGGACTGGATTTTTAAAATGTGGTATATATACATGATGGAATACTACGCAGCCATAAAAAAGAACAAAATCATGAATTTCGCAGCAACCTGGATGGAACTAGAGTCTATAATACTGAGTGACCTCTCACAGAAACAAAGATCTGAGAATCACATGTTCTCACTCATATAGTGGACCTTGAACATCCAACGTAATACTATAAGAAAATGACTGACAGTGGTGGGAAACTATGGGGGGAGGGGAAGGGTGATGGGATTAATGGTAGTAAATATCTGTCTGGGGACGGGGAGACACCTCTTATCAACAAGGGTGCCTGAATGAAGCATATTTGTATACCTAACCCTTAACTGCACCCCACAATATCATAATAAAAAATATTGATTATAAAAAAAAGAAAGAAAGAAAAGAAAAAAGACATTGGTAATCATTGTTTGCTATAAATCTTTTTAGAGAGGTACACTGAAATATTTATAACTGAAATGATATAATGCCAGAATTTGATTCAAAGCAATCTTGGAATAGGCAGTGGGTACAGGTGAAATAAGATGGGTCATGAATTGTTAAGTGAGGAAGGCGGGTGATGGGTACCCAAGGGCTCATTATACCACCCTTTCTTCTTTTATAACCATTTGGAAATTTTCTACTTTAAAAATAAAATATCAAACATTTATGAATGGTTCTATGCATAAAAGGAAACCAAAAACATAGTCTCCGATGCCTAAGAAGTCAGTCTAAAATTGACCACACAGAAGCTGACTTGACAGATACTCTGGAGTAAACTTACTAAACCAATACATGAATAGACATGCATTCCTATGAAATCAGGATATTCTTCAATTCTCTGATGTTAACACTGAAAAAGAAGAAAGTTTATTGTGCTAAACAAGTAGAGTTTCCCAATTCACAATAGGGTGGGAAATACACCTAAGAAGAAGCTTTGATCATGATTTGGCAACGGTTTGTATGATATGATCTTAGTAGAAGTAGAGTGTATTGAACTGGTATTAAATGACCGCGACTATCAGCAAAATGAGAGAATCCCAACATTCTGGTGACAGGAGGGAAGGTGTGGGCAGAATTTGGAAGTAATATGTATAAAGGACAATGAAAAAAATTATACCTCAACGATCTGAGCATAAATAGAAGGGAATTCATTGAGCTTTTTGGTTCTAAGACATCTTAGATGTGATATCTGCCTGTTGTTTACCCACTGGTGTGATCTCAAACAGTATCAGGAAATCATTTTTCATGCATCCTTGTAGTTTTGCCTGTTTTGTTTATTGCCATTGCTACACAGCAGAAACCTCGAACTAGAAGACAGCAAAGCATGTTCTCTCTATAGCTTTTATCAGCTTGGCTTGGTTTGCTGGCAGTTTTGGTAGGCTGCTTCCTCGGTGGCTCTACTTGCTCCTTGATGTCATTTTATTATTTTTATTATTATTATTATTATTTTTAGAGACAGGGTCTCACTTTGTCACCCAGGCTGGAGTGCAGTGTCGTGATCATAGCTCACTGTAGCCTTGAACTCCTGGACTAAAGCGATCCTTGCTGCCTCAGCCTCCCAAGTAGCTAGAACTACAGGTGTATGCCACTGAGCCTAGCATATTGTCATTTTTTGAAAAAGGATCAGACCTTCTCGATATGAGAAGAATGGGGTGGGGGTGGTGCCAATAAAGGATACCTGCTATTCAGGAATAATTCTACTCTTTTATTCCAGCTTCCTGTTTCCTGAAATCCCAGATTTCAGCATTCTTCGAAGCATCATTTTACAAGCCATATCCTTATCTTTTGTGAGCGCCTTTCTGCTTATGTTTCTGAGCAGGAAGACTGCCAGTTTTCATAACTACAGAATTAATTCCAACCAGGTGAGAGGACTATTACTTTCTCTGACTCTTAAGTTTCTGTTCTCTAATCTGAGCCTCCTGCCAACATGAAGGCTGGATTCTTCCTTAACTAGAGAGTCAACTTGGACCACAGTCTGGACTGTAATTACAAAGGGATTTTTCAAGAGGTGAGGGATACATAGCTTTGAGGCCACCTGAATTAACGTGTTATTCCCCTAAAACAGATACAGTATAGAAAGGCAAGATTACATACAGCATCACATTAAGCTAGGAACATTCCACTATTCTTAATTTCATCTTTCTTTCCACCAAGTCCTTAGAAGCCAGCCACATACTGAAGCATGATAAGAAATACTTCCTACACAAAACCAGGGCTACTACTAGAACTAAGTTGGCCTCCCAGAAACCGTCTTTGTTTTTTTGGTTTTGAGTTTATTTTCTAGGGGAAATCTCCAGCGACTCTTAGTTTGGTCCTTTCCCCAGAACTCGAGAGAGAAATATGGAAGTAGTAGGTTTGACTTCCAGGATAGTATAGAAGGAAGGGAGAAGGGAGAAAATTAGCATTGTGCTCCTCCCTATCATCCTAAGTCCTGGTGATCATATGAACGAGAATATAAAGCCAAAAGTCTTATTTCCCCACCTTGAAAAAGTGTTTTCTTTATGATCACTAGCTAACATGAAGATTCAATTTAATCTAGAAAATCAGATTTGCCATTCTTTTGTTCTTTTTAAGAATATTCCAGTCTGTTATCTGAAGTGATGTAAACTATGCTATCATCGTACAAAAGAAACATACCTTTAGCTTAAGATTAAATCAGCATCCTCCAACAGAGTGGGTCTAAAGTGTCTGCTGTTTCTTTACAGGATTTAGTAGCCATTGGCATTTGCAATGTTGTCAGCTCATTTTTTAGATCTTGTGTGTTTACCGGTGATGCTGCCAGGACTATTATACAGGATAAATCTGGAGGAAGACAACAGGTGTGTTGAAATAGAATTTGACCTCCTACATGTAAAGATATCACTGTCAATTCATATGCATATTCATAGAAGAGGATTATATGGATTTAATCTTGCTGCTATTTTAATGTTAGACTTGGTAGGAAAAACCTTTTGGAAGAATGTTGATTCCATGCTTGCCTTAATTTTTGTTCAGACTTCGTCTTAAAAGTTATTTGTCAATGTAGAATTTAAAAGTCATTTTCTATTGATTTTCAATATTATATGAGAGGTTTCTACATATTAGCCCACAAAAGCCCATTTTCCATGTAACGTACCTGAAGGATAACAATATTTCAGGTTAACTTACCATCATCTGTTAGCTTTTTTTCCCCTATGGAAAAATGCATTCTCATACTTCATCTAGGAAAGCATTATTAACAACTCTCCCCACCATGGCAGCAAGCAAAACATTTTCCTAGCTTCCTCAAAGGGCATGGCAAGGGGCTTTCACAATAGGGAGTCAGATCTCTGTCTAGGAGAGCCTAGGGAACTGATGACCATTCTACTTTCGTACACAAGAAAACTGTCTAGATCAGACTCTCTTTAGGTGTTCTGAATTAGCAGAGTAAATGTTTACATGGGTGTTAAGCATAGCATAGAGAGAATGGTGGTCGACAAGACTCTAAAGGCAAATTGCCTAGTTGCAGGCATAAGATTTTACACGTCCAATGTTCGTGACTTTCAAACTGACTAGATAAAAGTTCCAACATGCTTACACATGCTTATGTGAGAGGTGTCCCATCTCAGCTATGTAGTGAGATGAAATGTCAGGGAGGTATCAGAATTGAAACTGGGGTATGCCCAAGGAGTCAGAGTTCAGATGGCGGAGAATCAGTGGCAGAGGTCAAAGACAAGCTTATACATCAGAAGCACAATTAGAAAGCAGATGTGTCAGAAGAATGAATGCTCAAATTTAATGTGGAAAGATAAAATGTCACAGTCCATGGGCAAATATATGGTGAAATATAAGGCAAAAGCTAAAAAAAAGTCAGAAAAAAGATTAGGCAGGGGCGAGAGCATGGGTCTAGAGTAAAACTACATCGTATCATTTTATATGGACTAAGTTTTCTTGTCATAGAACTTCTTTCAGACACACTGACCTTTTCCACTACTGCTTGACACACAAAATTTGGGCTATGTTTTTTAAAAAATGTTCTAAAAATCATGGCCTTTACAGCAACTTGGATGCAGTTGGAGACCAGCACACTAAGTAAACTATCACAGAAACAAAGAACCGAATACTGTATTTTCTCACTCATAAGTGGGCCCTGAACACTAGTCACACTAGCACAAGGGTGAGATTGGCAGATGTTGGGCACTGCTAGGGGAGGGAGGGTGGCAGCAGTGAGGGGTGTATGTACATGGTGACACAATGGGTACCTAGTCCACTACCGGGGGAGTGAGGGCCAGCTGGAAGCCCAGACTTCACCTGCATGCAGCACACTTATGTAGCAAATCCTCACTTGCACTCCACAACTCTAAAATTTTTTTTAACGACGTTCTATACAAGCATGCAAAAATTTTAGAGTCAAAATGAGAGGGTTTTATGATCAGAAGCGGAAATGGCAATTCCAGAGATTAGTTCCACTAAGTTTTTATGACACACTTGGTTTGCTCAGTATATAAGCATAAAATAAATGTGGGAGACAAGATACACACAGCTGGAAAAAACTAAGTCACAGTGCAAGGAAAATTGAGCGCAGAATGAGAACACTTTTTAAAAAGCACCATAAATATTGTGAGAAGAAGAGTGGAGGAAGTGGGACTTCCATGGAGTGCTGAACGGGGGTCAGGATACGCACAGGTGGAAGGAGAAAGAAAGGCCTCTGCTCAGTCTCTGCACAGTCTTGAAAACAGGCCTTCAACCGGGCTCGGTAGCTCAGCCTGCAATCCCAGCACTTTGGGAGGCTGAGGTGAGTGGATTGCCTAAGCCTGAGGGTTTGTGACCTGCCTGGGCAACTTGGTGAGACCTTATCTCTACAATAAAATTAAAAATTAGCCAGGCGTGGTAGCGCACGCCTGTAGTTCCAGCTACTCGGAAGGCTGAGGCGGAATGATCGCCGGAGCCCAGCAGGTCGAGGCTGCGGTGGCCAGGAGCAGCCACTGCACTCCAGTCTGGGTGACAGAGTGAGACTCCAACTCAAAAAAAATGAAAATGAGTTATTATAAAAGAGAGAAATGTATTGTGTCCTTTTTAGAGGAAGCAAGCGGGCAGTGGAGAGAGCCTGGATTTTAGAGTCAGATGGTCAAGGGGGCTTAAAAACCAACTCCATGCCTCCTAGGTGCATGTGACCTTGGTTAAATGAAAATGAGAATCAAACCAACATTTCTGTTGTGAGAATTAAATTAGATGCTAATAGTGCCCACCACAGTACCTGTCACTTAAGAGAAGTTCAAAAGTCATAGCTTCCTCCCCAGGTCCCCAGTGCCTAGGCAGGTGTTCAGCAATCTGCTGTCCTTCTTCATGGAACCCACTGCTTAAGAAGCAATTGGTGTCTGAGGGTCTGCAGGTTGACAGTGACTATGGGAATTCACATGGCTTTGAATCTCTGGAGAGAAGGCAGAGTCGGTCTTTGTTCAAGAAAACCTGCAAAACTGATAGAAAATCAAATCAGAAAAGCAAAAAATAGACCAGGTAGAGTGACTCACACCTATAATCCCAGCACTTTGTGAGACCAAGGTGGGAGAATAACTTCAACCTATGATTTCAAGACCAGCCTGGGCAGCATAGTGAGACCTCATCTCTACAAAAACTACATGGTGGTGCATGCCTGTAGTCCCAGCTGATTGGGAGGCTGAGGTGGGAGGATCACCTGAGCCCAGGAGGTCGAGGCTGCGGTGAACCAGGATCGTGCCACTGCATTCCCGCCTGGGTGACAGCATCCTAGTCTCAAAAGAAAAACAAAAAGAAAGAAAGAAAAGTTGAACATGCATGTGATATAAAGTTCTATAGCAGTGGTCCCCACCCTTTTTCACATCAGGGACGGGTTTTGTAGAAGATAGTTTTTCTATGGACCAAGATTGGTGGGGTGTGGGGATGATTTCAGGATGATTCAAGCACATTGCATTTATTGTCCAGTCGTGGCAACTGCTCTGTCCATGCATATACTGACACAAAACGGTCAGTTCAGTTTTCCTGATATGCAACCATTCAAAGACTTGAATAGTTCTGCAGCTGTGATATTGGTTGGCAACAAAAGTACACATAACATATCCCCATGCACATCCTCCTAAAAAATATATTGGACACAAACAAGCATTGTTGCATTATTGTCAACATCGATAGATTCATCAACCTGGATTGTGTATTATGATTCATTAATACATTCTAACAATTGTGCCTCAATATCCCCTGCTATTTCATCAATTCAACTAGTTATGGTGCTAGCCAAAAGAGGAACACATGCCTCTTTTGAACTGCAGCTCCTCCTAAAAGTTCACAACAAATGTCCTTAGCAGCAGGCAGGTTCAACTCAGCACCAATAGTAAAGGGAGCCTTAGTTTTAACAATGTGGTTAACCACTAAGAATGATGCTCTCAGTGCAGACACATTTGATAAAGTGATGGCCTGCAATAATTGCTTCTGTTCTTTGTGTTCATGTTTTTTTTTTTTCCTTTGAAAAACTCCAAAGGTTTGTCTTTTAATGTAGGGTGCTTGGTCTCCATGTGGCAAAGAAGTTTTGAAGGTTTCATGACTTTGCTAGACAGATGGTCACCATATGTTATACAAAGTGGACTTGGAGAATGTGAATCACCTGTAGCAATGAACCTGTAATTTAAATAGTACTCTTGGTATTTTTTTAAACGCAGCTTTTGTTTTGTAAGCAGTCTTAGAGTCGTCTGTTGTCTCATCATTTGGTCTTCCCCCCTTTTCAAAGAAGCTCTCCAGTAATGTTTGTTTTTTACTCATTCTGGCTAAGGTCAGCTTGTGGGTTTACCAAAACTGTGACTAAGACATGTGTGTAGTGTAGGAAAGAAGTGTAGACAGAAGTGGTAAATAAAATAATGGGCAGGCCACATGTGGACTAAAATAAGTGTCAGATTCTGACTTAAACTCTGTCGCAGATGCAGTTGTACAACTAAAGTACATCAACTCACTTGCCACTCACTGACAGGGTTTTGATAGGATTCTGCAAGCAATTGATTTATTATGGTCTCTGTGCAGTCAAATCTCTCTGTTCACCTCAACATTAACCTGTATCTGTAGCCACTCCCTAGCACTAGCATCACTGCCTCAGCTCCACCTCAGCTCATCAGGCATTAGATTCTCATAAGGAGCCGACAACCTAGATCCCTGCATGTGCAGTTCACAACAAGGTCTGTGCTCCTATGAGACTCTAATGCCACGGTTGATCTGACAGAAGACAGAGCTCAGGCGGTAATGCGAGTGAAGTGCAGCTGAAAATACAGATGAAGCTTCACTTGCTCACCAATGAGCCCCTCCTGCCATGTGGCCCAGTTCCTAACAGACCACAGACCAGTCCCCAAAGCCCACTCCTAGGAATGTGCAGCCAAGGGGAACACAATGATTGGCAGGCCTCCAACCCTCTCTGAGCAGCTAATTTAATAGAATTTGGTATCTGGTGTGTACTCATTTTAATCTAGGTTCTATACTTTATTATCGTGTCTGCTTGTCTTTTTTTCCCTAAAAATTAGAGTAATTTTGGAGGAAAGAAGTGATTGAAAAGAAGGGCTGATATATTTTCTCGAGCTAATCAAAGTAGCTCCTTTCTATAGTGCCAGTGGAAGCTGGAGCTGTAGATTAGATCCAGCAACAGGCCGATAGGGAGATTGGCTAGAGGGGTTGATGGGCTCCGTTACCTGTTTTGGTTTCACAGTTTATGAAATGCTTGCCATTGGAGCTTTCTGAGTTTCAGTCATAGCAATCCATTTTCCTCCTTCCTGCACTACTCTCATGTGATGCAGCTTTTCTGCTGGGGTGGTGGAAGAAGGAAGTAAAACATTGATTACATTGCTATTATTTTCAGAGGTTTCTTGTTTTTGTTTTTTGAGACAGAGTCTTGCTCTATCACCTAGGCTGGAGTGCAGTGGTGCAATCATAGCTCACTGCAGCCCCGAACTCCTGGGCTCAAGTGATCCTCCCACCTCAGTCTTTCAAAGTGCTGAAATTACAGGTGTGAGCCACCACAGCCAGCCTCAGCCATACATGTATATGGCAAATCTCAATGGGCAGTGAGAGGAAACCCAGTAAGGAAGATTTTTTTTCCTCTCACATAAAAATAAAAACGTAGAGAATCATTGCCAAATGGTCCTTTAATAGATTAGATTTGAGGGACCATCTCAGTTCTTGCTTATATATGCCATTGTTTTGATTTGTGGTCACAGTTTTACCCCACTTTCCATTACAGTGAAAAATGTAATGTATTATTTTTGTTATTAGGGGCTGAACAAAATGGAAATCTACCAATAGAGGAGATAATGAGTTCAAGACTATTTCCAGAGGGCCTTGGGCTTATAAAGGGAAGGATGCTTCTTAGCTTTCCCCCTTTTTTGCCAAGAGAAAATCACTGCTTACTAAGAGACACTGAGCCCAAAACAGTCAACTCAACTGGGATAGGATCCAGAGCTGCTATATACAGCCTTGACTCATGTAGCTGTTTTTGATTGCACTGAAGCAGAGAGAAACTGAAGCAGGAAAATGACTATCATTGTATTTTTCAAGATGAAGCACCACTGAAACTGTTAGATGGGAAGTTATCCAAGCTCCAAGCAGGAGATCGAGGGGTAGGATATTTATTTATATAGGAAGTAGCATGATTGGGATTTTAGGATTGTCAGTGAAGACTCTACTAGGGCTTTTCTAAATTGTGCAAAGGGAGATTAAAGTGAGGAGAGAATGCAAATCAGATTTTAGGAGACTTTAGATGCAGAGCACAGAGCTGTGGCAATGAAGACTCAAATACCCAGGACAATGTGGAACTTTTCAGAGAGCATGCATGCATTCATTCAACAAGTAATTATTGAATCCCAAGTATGTGTTTAGCACTTTGATAAGACCTGAAAATGTCAGTTCAACAAAAACACACTTATGCTGAACCTAACTCCTTTTAAGAACAAATGACATGTTTCCCACCAAGCAGAAGGCCTTGGCTGCAGATAGAGACCAGTATGCTCCTGATGGTTTCTTTCCATTCGACTCTGTCTTTTCAGTTTGCATCTTTGGTAGGTGCAAGTGTGATGCTCTTCCTGATGGTGAAGGTGGGACACTTTTTCTACAAACTGCCAAATGTAAGTAGGACTGATCAAATAACTACGTCAAGAAAGACCAGACTGCACCTTGGTGGGACATCTCTGATGAAAATTCCACTCAAATTGTCCCCTGTGGTTGCTCCAGCCTATTTCTAGTCTCTTTCATTTAAAATCATAGTATCCAAGCCAGGCACGATGGCTCACGCCTGTAATCCCAGCACTCTGGGAGGTAGAGGCAAAAGGTTTGCCTGAGCTCAGGGGTTCAAGACCAGCCTGAACAACATGGCAAGACCTTGTCTCTACAATAAATCAAAAAATTAACCGAGCATGGTGCCGCATGTCTGTGGTTCCAACTGCTTGGAAGGCTGAGACTGAAGGATCACCTGAGCCCAGCAGCAAGTTGAGACTTGGTGGCCATGAGTGTGCCACTGCACTCCAGCCTAGGCAACAGAGTGAGATTCCTACTCAAAAAAAATTATATATATATATACACCTACATATACATATATATGTACACACACATATATATAAAATGCATAACAAGGCCTTTATATATAATATAAGGTTTTTATTTTATAATAAAAGTATTTGGCCTGGTTCAGTGGCTCATGCCTATAATCCCAGCACTTTGGGAGGCTGAGGTGAGTGAATCGCTTGAGCCTAGGAGTTCGAGACCAGCCTGAGCAACATAGCGAGACCTTGTCTCTACAAAAGAATTAAAAAATTAGCCAGGTGTGTTGGCGCATTTCTGTAGTGCCAATTATTTGAGACAGAAGGATCGCCTGAACCCAGTATGCTGTGGCTTTGGTAAGCCAAAATCAAGCCACTGTACTCCTGCCTGGGTGACAGAATTAGACTTCAACTCAAATATATATATATATATATTATCTACGTCACAGGGTTGGGAGTTAGATAAGATAATATGGGGGAGAGATATATAGTATATTTATATGTAAGATATACGTGTGCATGTATATAATGACATAATAGTGTCAGGCTTATAGTAAGCACTCAAGAAACAATAGTTATTGTTATTATTATCATTCTCGTTAATCTTATTTTTATTGCTTAAGTTGTAAAGTAAGCTTTATAAGTAAGGATTCCGTGAAAAATGACCAAATTAGACTTCGGATACCAGACTCCCATTACCGACACAGACTTGGAGCCTCATTGTGCTTTTCTGTGCTTTTCTGTCATGTTTTCCCACACTGCTCCCAGAAGACCTTGTTCTGCATTTGTATGAACTCAATCCCCACTATTGCTGCCACACTGCCTCTTGGTTAGTTCACAACACTAGAAAGTGGGTCTGAAAGCTGAATTTTAGCTCAGTGTTCAGCTAGGATGCCTCTCTATACACATGTGTGATTTCCCTTCCCTTTGTGTGAAACTGATTACCTTGCGCTTAGAGATGCCAGGTGTGTTAATTACTGGTTGTAATCAAGATATGTACTGAGTCAGAGTATAGATCCAAATCAGTGACCTTCATTTCCTTTTACATTTTCTTCATGTTCCCTTAAGTTATTTTTACATAGTACTTGGGAGTGGGAGAAGGTTTCTTTGCTGATACAGCAGCATGGTTACACACAGAGGTGACTGTCCCTGAAATTGGGGCAGTTGTAAATGTTATCCCCATCCTTTTGAACACTTCTCTTCTACCTAGTAAATATCAGGTTTCAGTAGCATAGGACCACCACTCAGTTGTTGGTGCCTTATGCTCTTAAAATTCAAGGATCTTGGAGCCCAGGCATGGAATCTATGCAAAGATGGTGGAATTAATAAACTGCATTTGCCACACAAGCCGTCCTCTGATTCCCAATCAAAGTCATTTCCAAAACTCACTTTGGAATCCAGGAGGACCATTCACTAATTTACTTTGAACACTGATGCTTTTTATTTACAGCTAAATGAAGCAGAATTTTAAAATTCCAAAACAAACAAAAACTACAGAATTCACTGAAAGGTAGTGATAAAATTTGGTAGCACTCCTTTATTATAAACATGTTAGGGCCAGAACAGCCCTCACTTTTGGCCAGTCAGCCTCTGGAGTAACTAGGACTACAGGTGCAAGCCACCATACCTGGCTAATTTTTTTTTTTTTTTTTTTTTTTAGTTGGAGTCTCACTCCTTCGCCCAGACTGGAGTGAAGTGGCATGCACACTCACAGCTACTCCAGCGTCGACCTGCTGGGCTCTGACGATCCTTCCACATCAGCCTTCCAAGTAGCTAGAACTACAGGCATGCGCTACCATGCCTGGTTATTTTTAAAACTATATTGTAGAGCCGAGGTCTTGCCAAGTTGCCTGGACTGGTCTCGAACCTCTGGGCTCAGGCAATTCACTTGCCTCAGTCTCCCAAAGAGCTGGGATTACAGGCTGAGCCACCAAGCCTGGCCTTTTTTTTTTTTTTTTTTTTTTGAGATAAGGTTTTGCTATGTATGTTGCCGAGGCTAGTCTCAAACTCCTGGGCTCAGGCAAATCTCTTGTCTCTGCCTCCCAAAGTGCTAGGATTACAGACTTGAGCCACTGAGCCCAGCCTGTATATTGTTTTATGAAAAAATGTGTTTTCTTTCCATACCCCCTACCTCAAGTCAAAAATCTTCCCAAAGCTCTTCAGAGTTGAATTTTGTTTCCTTCCCACCATATCTCTGCAAAAAAACTTTGACAATTCTTGACTGGAAAAAAGATAATATAGTAGGAAAATATGTGGTATGGGAGAAAGAAATTATTTCTACTGACTTCATCTTTGCTCTTCTCTCCTCTACCAACCTGTTGTATCTAAATGATCACTGGGTACCCTCAGAAAGCCAGAGTAAGCTGGGATCCAGCCATTCCTGCTGGTAGGATCAGTTCTAATTCCCAGGCAGAGTATACAAGGGGGACCCCCAAAAAACCAGAATTATCTTTTGGAGGGTGGGCTCCTTGTAGCATAGACTTCCCCCACTAGGTAAGGGTTCTAGAAAATCATCAGCATCAGTGTATCAGCCAGCATTGTTGTGAGAGGCTGATTTTGATTTCGGTGAATTTTTTGGGGGGAGGGGGAGATTCTTTCAACATTCTTTCAACATTTCATTATGGATAATTTGTGAGCGCACCTGCCCACACCATGCTGAGTGTTCAGTCTTTTACCCGAAACAACGTGATCCCCCGCCTCATCTTCCCTATCTACCCAATCTCACCCCGAGCAGCTTTTTTTTTCCCCTCTGGATGAAAAAAGTCCTCAAAGGGAAACGTATTGCTGATTTGGAAGAGGTGAAACAAAAAACAACAAAAGCACTAAAGGCATCAAAATTGATGAGTTCAAAAACCATTTTGAGCAATGGAAAAAATGTCTTGATAGTGTACTGCATCAAACAGAGAGCACTTTGGAGGTGACTGAAATTTAAACATGTAAGAATAAATACACAACTTTTATAGATAAATTCTGAGTTTTTGGGGGGTTCCCCCCCACATAGAGGAGAGAACAGCTAGGAAAAGGCTAAAAAATGTTAAACCAATGCAAGGACGTCGAGAATTTTTTTGTGTGGACATTCTTTCAATGTGTTTGCTCAGTTCATGATGGGTAACTTATGAGTGCACCTGCCCACACCACGCTGAGTATTCAGTAGTTTTTGACCAAAAAACGGCATGATCCCAGTTGCCCTCCCTCCCTATTCACCTGATCTCACTCCAAGCAACTCTTTTTTGTTTCCCTGGATGAAAAAAGTCCTCAAAGGGAAATGTTTCTTAAAGTAGGTTACATTTTACCTTGAGGCCTGATGAGCTTTCTGTTTTAAGAAATTCTCTTTAAGAAACTCTCTTTCCATGAGAAAAGTAGACACTCATTTTCAAAACTTTGGAAAATGCAAAATAGATTAAAATGTTACTCACAATCACAAATAAACAACTATTAACATTTTGACATTCATTCAAACAATATTATTTTCTATGGATGGACATCACCTACCTGCATAATTTTGTATTATTGTTTGTACTTACTATATTGCATGAAACTCTATACTATAACATTAATCATTATTATTGGAAAATTAGGTTGTCTATATTTTGTTATTAAAAATAACACAACAATGAGTAATTTTGTACATCTACCCTTTTCTATATTTGGGTTAAATTTCCAAAAGTAAAACAAAATTTGTGTGTGAGAGCATATCAGTATTTCTTGATATGTTGCTAAATGATTTTCCAAAAGGGCAATGCCCTATTATACTCAAAAACCATGACATGGGGTGTTATCAATGTTTTTTCATCTACTCATTTCATTTGAGGGACACAAAATAGAATCTCATTAGTGAAATAGTTACAGCGTATCATGATTAAACTTGAATAAAAGCCCAGCTGAAACTATTTTAGAGCCTCTGTGAGTAGAAGTTCTCTTTTATTATCCCATGTGAGAATGGTTTCTAGATAATGTAGGTAACACAGATATGTCAAGAAAACTAAGTGAGGTAAGTCCAGACAGCCAAAAGATCCAGCTCCCTGTGGGTTCTGTCTCACACACTGAAAGTGACAACACTAAAACAGAAGGGAGTAGATGACTGTAACTTTTGGCTACTCTTCTCACCATCTATGTGAGCAATAAACTATCAGAATCTAAAAGGGTGCTGTTGTAGCTTTCCTAGCTAAATAAGTCAGGACTTGACCTTGGCCTGACCTTTCCTTAAGTGTTTGACAAATTATGGGGGAGAGAAAAGAAAAATGTAGAGAACACTTAATTGATTGGTCAATGAGTTGGAACATGGACATGGTATTCATACAAAATATCGATGCAGAATATCTCTGGTTGCAAGGCTCATTGATTTTTTTGTGGTTCCTTTATGGGGAACTAGAAATTTTACACATCTCACCAAAAGGAAAATAAAGCAGGGTTTATCTTTTCCCCACAGGCTGTGCTGGCTGCTATTATTCTGATCAACGTCCTTCCCTACCTTAAAACCGTTTCCAACCTACCCATTATGTGGAGGCAGGACAAGTATGACTGTGTGAGTGCAGATGCCCTGGCTGAGGAAGGGGAGGGCAAAGGGAAGATTGGAGAGAAGTAAAAAGAACCAACAATAGAGGTCAGCCACGGACCTGAAGAACACTAGCAACTCTTGGATGCCTAGTACTTTATTTTTGCTTAAGAAAGGATAGTCAAGATTATCGGTACAGGAAAACACAGAGAACTCATTCCAACTATGAACAATTAAATAAAAGGAATTAATTAAGAGGCTTCAGTTACATGCAAATCTAGTAAAAAGGGTTTGTCATTCATTGCATATTTAAATGCCTTTTAATCCAATTAATGCAAATATGTTCCAGGATAGGAGTCACCAATCCTAACAAGAAAAGGAGGTATCTCGTCAGGCAGAATAACTGCTGGAATACCCCCTTTTCCCCAGAGCACAAAACCAGAGGACAGAAAAGGGAAACAAAAGAAGTTAAAGCTGAGGACAGAATATGATGAAAGGAGGACCAGGAGAGGCAGAGAGATACGAAAGAGGGTAATTTTTGAAGCCAGATCCCTGAGGGGCTGAGGGAGGATGCGGTCCAGTTTACAGGTAGTCTCTACTTCAGGAAGAGGGGACAGCACGTCCAACAGGACTGGAGAGAATGAAGACAAGTTGAACACAGACACTGACAAGTGGCAAGTGATGGGAGAAGTGAACATGTCAGGGATTTCAGCCTATTGTCTTCTATGAAAATGAAGGTTAGGTGAGAATGATGGAGAAGGTGACCGGGTAAAGGCTTGAAAAGGAGGTAAAGATTTGCAAAACCTCTTATAGGTCTTAAAACAGCAACTGCCATTTGGTGAACGTTCTGGTCAGTCTTACACATGGTATCCTTAATCTCAGCAGAGTCTGTAAGGTAGATATCATTACCTCTATTCTACACATGAGTGAACAAGTTTTGAGAAGAATTGAAGAGAGAGATAACCAAGGATACATAAAAGAATTGCTGGACAACCTTGAGGACCCAGCTGTTTGTGATGGCACCAGTCCAAGTGACTGTGGAATTGTTTTTCTCTAAATCCTAGGTGCAGGGAGAGGGTGAAGGTGAGTTGAGAGATAGGACTGGTCTGGTGATTTTCTCAATTCTGCTTGTTTTCATGGTCTTCCTTTCCTCCCTCCCCCCATGCCTTTTCCATAAGGTTATTTGGATGGTGACATTCTTCTCAGCGATTTTCCTGGGACTGGACCTTGGACTACTTGTTTCATTAATTTTTTCTTTCTTCATCATCACCGTTCGTTCACATAGGTACATTGGCTCAGGTAATAGGAGGTTAGCCGAGGCAAGGTAAGACAACTGTGACCTAATGGCAAGTACATTTCTTTTCAGAATTGAGTTTATTCTCCTGGGTCAAATCCCTAACACCAACATTTATAGAAGCATCAATGACTGTCAAGAGGTAAGACTCCAAATGAGTCCCACCCCACTGCCTAAGAGATAGGGTGGGCCAAGCCTGGTGCTTAGTTTTTCTTCTTCTACTTTCTAAAGAATAATTATGTTTTAAACCTCTCTACAAACTCCCTTTGCTGTTGTGTCCTGTGCATTTACAAAGGAGGAGGAAGTGAAATGGCAGGGTAGAGGCAGGTTCTTTTTTTTCTTTTTTTCTTTTTTTTTTTGAGTTGGAGTCTCACTCTGTCATCCAGGCTGGAGTGCAGTGGCACACTGACAGCCACCGCAGCCTGGACCTGCTGGACTCAGGTGATCCTTCCAAGTACCTGGAACCACAGGTATGCATCACCATGCTCAGTTAATTTTTTAATTTATTGTAGAGACGCCAAGTTGCCCAGGCCGGTCTCGAACCCCTGGACTCAGGCAATCCTCTCACCTCCGCCTCCCAATGTGCTGGGATTACAGGCATGAGCCACCGCGCCCGGCAGAGGCAGGTTCTTAAAGTAGCTAAGTCCTTGATAGTCCTGCAACCAGTGAAGGATCATTTTTCGATATACCTTAAGGAAAGGAAGACCAAGAAAAAGTGAGGAGTGAGGAAATGAAGGGGGAAAGGAGAAAGCAGGAAAAGCAGGAGGTAAACATGGGAGGAAAGAATGTTCTAATTCTTGTCTCTAATCGGGAAGAATACAGATTCTCTAGGAGATTCTAAAGATGTATTATCCTTATTCCATACAGGAGCTGAGAAATGTCCCTCAGCTTCACGTTTTGTTTTGAAGGTTATGAGCATTCCTGGAGTGAAAATCTTCCAGTGCTGCAACGCTATTACATTTATAAATGTTTACCGCCTAAAACACAAGCTGTTAAAAGAGGTAATTGTCCTCCTTCCTGCCCTGTCTTTCTCTACCTGCTCTCTCTCCCACTAACGTTCCTTTCCCCCCCTTTCACTTGCCTTTCACCACCTGCCTTCTGTGTGAGACCTCTCTTATATCTTTCAGGTTAATATGATAAGAGTTAGAGAAGAAGTAATTTCCAAACCATTTAATCAAGGTGATATCAGCCCACAGGAAGAAAAGATTTGTGGTTGTTACTGCGACTGTGATGACCTGGAGCCACTGCCCAGGGTTAGAAATGTCTTTCTTTTCTGCATTTTTTCCTCCATGCTTTATAAAGAAGTGTACTAGTAGTTTCTTCTAAAAATAATAGAAAATAAGCCAGGCTCGGTGGTTCACCCTGCAATCCCGCGCCTTTGGGAGGCTGAGGTGAGTAGATTGCCTGAGCCTGCAGGTTCGAGACCCGCCTGGGCTACTTGGTGAGACCTCATCTCTACAATAAATCAAAAATTAGCCGGGCGTGGTGGCGCGCACCTGTAGTTCCGGCTACTTGGAAGGCTGAGGCGGAAGGATCGCCGGAGCCCAGCAGGTCGAGGCTGCGGTGGCCAGGAGAGGCCACTGCACTCCAGTCTGGGTGACAGAGTGAGACTTCAACTCAAAAAAAAAAAATAATAATAATAATAATAATAAATAGAAGTTTCTAAGGGATTTGACTTTTAGCTGGCCCACAGAGAATTGGAAATTAAAGATTTCTACTGAGAAATGAAGACATAAGGTTCCCCTCTGAGGTTTAGATTTTCACATGAAAGTAGGTAGGAGGAAATGTTCCGGCTCCTATTGGTCGGCTAGTGACAAGAGTACGTTCTGTCTGTTGAGACTGTCAGTAATTCCCTGGTTGTACCTATTTCCTTGACTTTTAGCCACCCAGCTTTAGAAAATAAGTGACTTAAAGATTGTCTTTGGCTGGGTGCAGTGACCCATGCCTGTAATCCCAGCACTTTGGGAGGCTGAGGTGAGAGGATCGCCTGAGTTCAGGAGTTCAAGACCAGCCTAGTCAGCATAGCAAGACCTCATCTCTAAAAAAAATTTAAAAATTAACTGGGTGTGGTGGTGCATGCCTGTAGTTCCAGCTGCTGGGGAGGCTGAGGTGGGAGGATCACCTGAGTCCAGGAAGTAAAGGCTGCGATGTGCCATGATCATGCCACTGCACTCCAACCTCGGCAACAGAGCGAGACCCTCTCTCAAAAAAAAAAAAAAAAAAAGATTGTTTTCTGAGTCCACCTAGCAGGGTCAAGGTTGCTGGACTTCTCAAGGGATCTGCCAGGGTCTCTGGATATCTGTCTGTGACCAAGAAAATGATGATGGCAGATGGGCCAGTGAGAAGTGGGGTGACAAGCACAGGCTGCTATTTCAATGGGAGAATCTTACAGCATCTGAAGGTTATTTTTTTAGCTGATAAGAGTTACAGTGCAGCGCTTTGGGAGGCTGAGATGAGTGGATTGCCTGAGCCCGTGGGTTCAAGACCCGCCTGGGCAACTTGACGAGACCTCATCTCTACAATAAATCAAAAATTATCTGGGCT